TCTCTCCAAACCAGCTATCCTGGTAACACATACCCTCACATCTCTCTCATCCCACCAGGCTTTACACACATTGTGAGCCTGGTTTGTTGCAAAGACCATGAAAGTAACAGGTTGCCTTGGCCTAGGAGGCATAGGTGGGGTGAAAGAGCTGCCCAGGGAGGAAGGGCCATTGTGAGAACAGTCTGTGTGGATTTGTCTCCTTCCCCATACACAACCAGAACTTTAAAGTTCTTCAGCCAATGGAACTGAGCAGTAGTCCCCCGGCTGGGCTGTGACTTCCAGGAGATGGGCCACTGGTGTCTGCTTCTCAGCCCTGTGGCACAGTGCCTGTTATGGTTTAGATGTGGTACCCTCCAAAAGCTCATATGTGAGACAATGCAAGAAAGTTTGGAGGAAAAATAATTGGTGGATAGACTTAATCTAATCAGTAAATCTTCCCTCTCTCCCTCCCCCCATCCCTCTCTCTCTCTCTCTCTCTCTCTGTCTCTCTCTCCCACCATGTAGTTCTACCTCATCTTGAGCCCTGTGGAATGGAGCCTGCTGTCTGTGGATTGAGACCTCTGAAACCGTGAGCCCTCAAATAAACTTTTCCTCCTCTACAATTGTTCTGGTCAGATCCTTAGTCACAGCAGCGAAAAAGCTGACTAAAACACTGACACATATGATCTAAAATATTTCTTCCATCATCTTTGCCCCCTACCAAAGGAACTATTCACTATTATCTATTTCATCCGATTTAATTTTATTCATTATGATTATGAACTGTATATTGTTTCATAATCCTTACTTCATAATTTAATACTTTACTATCTCAAATGATTTCTAATTTTTTCATATATGTGAGTGCAAGTTATTTAAAACTGCCTTCGATAACATGGAAATGTATTCTATTTTGGTTCCCTCTGTTGGTCACACAGTTGTTCAATGTGAAAGGAAAAGAAAACATTCAAAATTTAAAAGAAAAAGGTGACTTATTTTCTACATGTAGAAGTGTTATGTTTTTTAACATCAACTCTCTGCTGATCTTGTATAGCTTTTTGGGGAAGGGATTGATTGATTTTCAGAGGTGAGGGAGGGTAGACATCACCCTTACAGCATGATTACTTTGGTGGAAAGAGTATTGGATGACTGGCTGACTTTTCAGAGATGAATTCACTAGAGTAAGACTGTTTTTATTTAACTAACTTTAGAAAGTGTGAAGCTTGTTACTGATTGGCTGTTTTTTTAAAAAAATATTTTTAGTTGTAGATAGATACAATACCTTTATTTTATTTATTTTTATGTGGTACTGAGGATCGAACTCAGTGCCTCACACATATTAGGCAAGCACTCTGACACTGAGCTACAATCCCAGCCCCTTGTTTGGGGTTTTTTGTTTGTTTTGTTTTTAGAGTCTTGTTTGCCAAGTTGAGTTGCCATCAATCTATTAATTGTGTTAGTTGTTACCATAGTTACTGAACAGTCTTTTCCTAAGAATGAATATATATATATGTGTATCAAATTTTTAATGCCTTATTCAAAAATATTGATTGATTGATTGATGGACATGTTCAAGTTTTTCAGATGCAAGAGGAAGAGATTTATTGGTGGTTTAGAGTAAGGCTAGATCAGCTCTGCTCGAATGTTTGCCCATTCAAAAGGGATTCATGTTATTCTTTTCTACTACTCTAAGTATCTCTCATTGTCATTATAACCAAGCAGGGATGATCAGGTTGAATAGTCATGTAGATTTCAATTGAAGTGTTTTTTTGGGGGGAGCAAACAAACGACAAATATTTTTTAAAATGCCCTCACTGCTATGTTTTATCCCCCAAAGTCTCATGTGGCGTTTTGGAACCCAGTGCAACAGTATTGAGAAGTAGTGGAACTTTAGAAGGCAGGGCTTAGTGGGAGGTGACTAGGTAATTGGAGTCACCACCCTCAGAAGGGATCAATGTTGTGAGGGATTAGGTCTTCTTGAATTGGATTGGTCTCCATGAGACAGAGTTGTTGTAAAGTTGGGTTCAACTTTCTTGGCTTGCCCTCTGGCTTTGTCTCTCATCATGTGAACTTTCTGACTCTTTAGCATGTGCTCTCACCACCAGATGCCATCCACCATGTTATGATGTGGCATGAGGTTTTTGCCAGATGTGGGAGCCTGATCTTGGTCTTATTCCCTTCACAACCGTGAGCTATAGTAAACCACTTTCCTTATAAAGTATCCAGTCTCAGGTATTTTATTACAGCAACACCAAATGGATTAAGACAATCAAAACATCATAAAATTTAGAAGAAGAACATAATAATTTTATTAATTAGCTGCTAGACATCTCTGTATTACTTTTCTTTCCCTACATTTTTATACCTTATACTCTTTGTCGCTTCAAATGCTAATAATTCACTAACAACTTTTATAGAGAAGATAAAAAGAAAATTTAGTTTTTTCCTTTTGTGTGGTTGGTTAAAATATTATAATATTTGACAAAGAAATAGGTTAGAAAAGTTTAAGCTTCACAACTATTGTTGATTATGCATATACATTTTTAGGATTGTTGTCAAATTTGGGAAAATACCCAAGGGTTGTTAAATATATGACTTAACAGAATTCAGGGCACATCAGTTTTCTTTGGGGGAATGACATTCTTTAGTTTTCTGTGGATGTTCTTATTACATTCTAAAAGAAAAGAACTTCCTTTTTTGGGCTATGCATTGGTAAACATTAAATCTTTACTTTAAAAACTTACACACCGAATAGGAAGAATTTCCAACAAATTAGCTTCAAGCTCCCTAAAATTCAACCCTGCTCTTCCCCCACTAACAACATATTTTTATTTTTTAATTTTTGAACTGTTGGGGTGGAACTCAGGGCCTCACACATGCTAGGCAAGTGCTTTACCACTGAGCCACATCCCCAGCCCACACATATTTTTTGATGCTAGCACACAGGGTACATTCAAATAATTCTAAGAGGTCTAATCCCACACCTTTGTTTTACAATCCTGGGTGGGTCAACACAATGGGTGGTAAGGAGTATTCTTGGAAGCCTGGACAGCTGGCAATATCTTAACTGCACATGAAAGAGACTGTGGGTTACAAAAATATATCCCACTAAACTCAAACCAAATGTATTCCTAATTCAACTTTAGCTTCATTTAAAAAATGTCTGCTAGCTATCCAACTCCACTAGACAAGAGGAAGTGTGGAAGAGGTGAAATCACTAAGGACTAAAGATTGTTGTTAAAATATTTTGCTTTTAAAATTTTTACAAAAGCATATGACTATTTGAACATATTGTTAGGACTCCTTCTATGGACTTGGAAAGGGGAAGTGCAAATGAGTATCCCTGAAGCTGGAGCTTCATTAACTTCACAGTAAATCTGCTGAAGCCATTGTTTTTTTGGCTTCTTGACCACTTCACACTTTTAAAAAATATTGAGGACTACAAGAAGGGTTTTTTTTTTTTTTTTTAAATCTAACCCAGGGATGCTTAGCATGAGCTACATGCCCACCCTGCTTTTGAGACAGGGTCTCACTAATTTGCTGAGGCTGTTTTTGAACTTTCAATCCTCCTGTCTCAGCCTCCTAAATCACTGTGATTATAAGCGAGTACCACTGTGCCTGGCAACAAGAAGCTTTTATGTAGATCATATCTGTCTAGGATATGAGTTATTAATTCATTCAGAAACAATTAAAAAGTTGCATGTTAACTTTTTAAATAGAATACATTTTCTAAAGTAAGAAGATTGGCACTATTTTACATTTCTGCAAATCTAATGTCTGGCTTAAAAGAAGATTCTTATAGATGCTCTGCACTCAATCCTTTGCAAGAGCACAGGATCTGTAGTCTCTGGAAAACCCCACTGTATTGCCATAAAAGCAAATAAATTCTTAACATGAAAAGAATTTTGACCTTGTGATACCCTGACCACTCTTTAAGAACCACTGATTAAGGCATCACCTTATCTACTTTTTTGGTTGCCTGAAGCTCCCAAGTAGGCTTTATCTATTTTGATATCTGTATACTCAACCACACCTCCTGAATATACTTTCTGGTACATATGGAAAACTTTGTGTGAACACTTTTTAATGAATAAAATGTTGTAGGGAAGTTTTTTTTTTTTTCTTTTCATTGACAAGAGGAAAATCACCTTTGCTGCTCCTTGATAGTAAAGCTTTCTTCTTTTAGAAATGACTAAGATCCAATGCACTATTTGGTGTCTTAGAGTACTTAGTATATATTTTTTTCTTTTTCCTCCCTTTTCTTTGCGTGACTGGGGATCAAACCCAGGGCTCATGTATACTAGGTACGTGCTCTGCCACTGAGCTACACCCCCAGACCCTAGAGGACTTACTTACAATAAATTATAATATTTATCAAATCCTTTCTGTATGGTAGGCATGTTCTAAGTGCTTTATATCATTTTCTCATGCTAATCCTAGGAGACAGATAATACCGTCATTCCTATTTTGTAGTTGAGGAAAAAGATATGAGAAAGGTTAAAGCCCAACGTTACAAAGGACTAAGCAGGATTTAAACCCAGATAATCTGACTCTGGAGCTTTTAGCCTACTATCTGCTGATAAAGAATAAAGATGGGAGATAGAGTGAGATTCCTATAAAATGACTATAGAGATAGGGAGGTTAAAAAGCAAAAAGGCTTTAAGCCAAGATAGTTGAGACACTAGACTGGACGCACTGTATTATTTTCCACTCCAGGATTCCCTTCTGCTATATTTTCTATGCTTCCTTGTTCCTCTTTTCATTTTAAAGATATGCCTTTGCTGGTGGCTTCGTTGCTCAGACCTGGCGCTGACCATGAAATTGAACAGGAGCGGGGAAATCCCGTGGTATCCGCGGGAACGACAGAGTGGAGACACCACTGCGCACGCGCGTTACTCCCTAGGCCTGCCCGCTTTGGCGGCGCGACCAGCCCCAGCCCCTGCTCTCCGCCTTCGACTCCACGCACCCGCCGCGGGTGGGGGCGGGAGGGAGGCTCGAGCTGAGGCGCCTGCGCAGTCCTGGGGGCGCTGGTGTGATCGAGCTCACGTAGCGAGGGCTGCAGTTGCCTCCTCCCCGGAGCTGCCATCGCGGCCTAGAGGTTATAAAAGGGCTAACTGGCTCCCTCTGCTGCCCAGTTGCGCCGCCAGCGGGCTGAGGGCAGGGAGTAGGTAGCCGTCCCGAGTGCAGGCGACAGGAACTGAAGAGCGCGCCGCCTTCCCGTCCCACTTTCCAGGTGAGACGCTCCTTCGACCTTGGAGAAGGGCTGTGGCCCAGGGGCAGCCCGGGTCCACCTCGCACTGCCGCAGCGGTCCGTGCTCTCCCGGCTGTGGTAGGGTGGCGGGGGTCTCCGCTTAACTACAGCAGCTTGGGTACCTTCTCCGCTGGAGACGGGTCCCGGTCTCCCAGTGCCCTCGTGCTGCCCCGCAGGCCCGGCTGCTCTCCTCGGGGCTCCCCTTCCCACCTCTGCCCCCATCCCGCCTCTGACCGTTGGGGCTGCAGCAGCCTCTGTCCCCGCCCCAGGGACCAGGACTTTCTTGAATGTTCCTTCCCGGGCAGGAATCGCCCTGTTGATTTTTCCAAGCTCCCTTCGTACCTGGTGCTCCCTACAAAGCTGAGAGGAACGCGAGGGTGGGGCGTGGGTTTTTGGCTGCCACAGCCGCAGATGGTTAGCATGTGGCAATGGAGAGTGGGCTTTACAGCTTACAGCTGAGGCTGAAGCTCTCCAGGCATTTTGCGCTATCGAAAAAATCGTCGGGTCCGGGAAGCGGACCTTCTCTGAAAGTTAGGGCTGAAGTCATCTGTTGCGCGCCGGGGTGCTGCCTCAGCAGCCACACGTAGCCGGGGGCACCGAGTTTAGGGCTGCTGGAGCCGAGGAAGTTGCTGTCACATCTCCCAGTTGGGGAAGCTGGGCTGCTGCTTCCCTCTTCGTCCCCATAAATCTTTTTAAAGGCACATGAGTTCTCCCCGCCCTCGAGAATTTGCAGAGTTTAAAAGTCCACTTAAGTCAAACATTTCATGATTGTGTGAGAATTTTGAGTTGGATTATATGACTGGCCTCCAGATACATGTTTCTAGGGGAGGAGGGATGGTACGGTAAGTATGAGAATAGTTCTCCTAAATAATCGAACCTATTAAATACATAATTCAATTTTTAGACGCTAACATGCGTTCCGCAGAGTGGAGAAGACTCTTGGAATTTTGCACTGTCTTAAAGGGATAAAGAAGCAGCTAAATCCCCTTTTAGGAATTGATCTAAAATGTCTAAGACGTTTGCCAATTTCTACTTAACTGTTTCTCTGAGAGCTGTGGCTCTAGGACTTTCCCTTGGAATGCACTCTGAAGGGATGAAGTGGCCACTACGTGAGTGGGGGAGGGGGAAAGACGTGGCAGCAGTGTTCTTTCATCAACTTTTGCTCATTTTTTTTTTTTTTTAAGGTTCTGGGAAGTAACGTATTTGCCCTTGTAGGTTTGGATGTAGCTTATGAATGGGGCTAGTCTTTTCCTAAAATAATCAGATGAAATATTCAGCATGCAGAGCAGGAACATTGGAAGTTAAATACTTTGAAGGGTTCTTTGGATCTAGTTTATATGGAGAAAATAGGTACCTTAAGCAGAAAATAGCCAAGAAGCTGAAAAGTGAACAACCTTGAATATATTTTACCTTGATTTGAAACATGAATAGTCATTCTGTGATTTTTTCTCTAACTTTGGCTTAAAGTAATCTTAATATGAAACTTAAATTTTATCTTTTTCTTTAGAAGAATAGATTTTACCACTTACCTTTAAAAATCATGTCAGTTTTGGTTTTGGATTATTGGCTCTTGTAAGTCCTACCAGTGTTTTTGATAGCTAATGGCAAAAGCTTCTTGGATTTACAGTCTAAGAAAAAGGACTACTTTTTCTCTCTTAAAATGGGTAATGCTGTTTCCATTGACATACTGAAATGAATTTTAAATTACTCAAAGCCAGGTCTTTTTGATAAGAGGATAATTACATTGGCCATTTTTTGTCTTGGTACTTAGTTGGTAAAACAGATGAAAATTGTGTACAACTTTTAATTATTGTTTAAACAACCATTGAAAAAAGAAAACTATATCACCTGTGTAGTCCATGTTGTAGAAGAGAGGGACGTTGGCTTTTGGTAAGGAGATGTTAACCTTTTCTGTTACTGCAGAGTGAACTGTATACTGACAAGCAGTATCTTTTATAGAGCAGTTAAATTCAAACTCCTTCTTTTATTCCAAGGATAAAGCAAGAGTTAGAGTAGTGATAAAGTTTGCGAGTCTTCATTTCTGTGGAAGGGATGTTTATTTTATTTAGTGATTATGAACTGGACGGTAGTTACTGCTCTTTTATTGACCTAGGGGATATACATAGTAGTGGTTCTCAACTTATTTCAAGGTCATGGAATCCTTTGGAAAACTGCTGGAAAGTGTGGTCCTCGGTCAGAAAGGGCAAATATGCTCTAACATGGGATTTTATATACCATTTCTGCCTTCTCCTTACTCATGAACTCTTATTATAAGATACTCTAGAAAAAATAAAAGGCATGCAAAGCTGATGTTTAAGGCTATCTAGGCATCTTGAATTTCTTGATATTTCTGAAAATTGAATTAGGCATGAATTTTGAGGGTTATTTTTTTGTTTATGTGTGTGTGTGTGTGTGTGTGTGTGTAGTTGACCTTTATTTTATTTATATATGGTGTTGAGAATAGAATCCAGTGACTCTCACATGCCAGGTAAGCACTCTACCCCTGAGCCACAACCCCAACCCACTTGGCTTAAAGGGTTTTAAGAAAAGTTAATAGATTGTTAGAATTATTGAATTGCCAAGTCAATGATAGTACATCATATTGTGTATTCCCACCATATTGTGACATATTTGGTTTGTCACTCAAAGTAGAATAGGCATGAAGGTAAACAGAAATAAATTGTATCACTCTTGGATTAAACTTCATTGCTGTTCTTACAGTGAGATCTTGAATCTTACAATTAAACAATAATGGGTGTGTATATAAATATATGAGATGAGTCAAACAAAGTAGATATATATATGTGAAACTTGTTAAATTTCTCTTCCTACTTGGTGAAATGTATTTGTATAAATTGAAGCTATCCTGTCTTCTAGTCAAATAAATATTGTGCATGAATAAAAATTTACAGAATTCAAAAGGCTTCTCATTTAGGTTACTCCCAACAGTTTTTGAACTTTATACTGATCATTCCTTGGATGATCAGTATGACCATTAGTATTCTTTAAAGAAAGAAACACATGACACTAAAACCTTATTCATATACTAGTCTGTCTTCTATTGCTATGAGAAAATAGGACAGGGTGTTTTTTTTTTTTTTTAAATTAGGCTGATTTAGATTGTTCTTCTGGAGGTTTAAAAGCATGGCACTGGCTTCTGCTCAGCTCTGGTGTGAGGGCCTCATGGTAGATGACATCACCATGGTGGAAGTGTATGTGAAAATGATGACATGGTGAGACAGGAAGCCAGAGAAATTGAGGGTTCAGGCTTACTCTCTCTAACAGCCCACTCTGGGGAAACAAACTTACTCTGAGACCAGCATTAATTCCTTCTAAGGGCAGTGCCTCAACAAGGTAACCACCTCCCACTAGGGCCCAACTCTCTCTCTTTTTTTTAATATTTATTTTTTAGTTGGACACAGTATCTTTATTTATTTATTTTTATGTGGTGCTGAGGATCGAACCCAGGGCCTCACATGTGCTAGGTTAGCGCTGTACCGCTGAGCACAACCCCAGCCCCTAGGGCCCAACTCTTAAAGTTTCTACTGCCTTTCACATCACTACATTGGGGCCAGGCTTCTCACAAATGAACCTTTGATGTACAAACCACATCTAAACCATAGCAGTCAGTAATTCTTTTCTTCCTCTAATCATCCAGGGATTGGACTGGACTCTAAAAAGACTTGCAAAGTCCTCTTATATGATCTGCCAGATAACTAAAGCACCTTAGGAAGAGTTTCTTTATATATTATAATGCCTGAAGATGATTCTGTGAGATAGTTTTATATTATCTCCATTTCACAGTATAAAGAAAACAAGACTCAGAAAAGTCAAGTAATTTGCTCAAGAATTCAGTAAATGGCAAAACTAGGACTTGGACTCAGGTCACCTGTTCTCTGATTCATATTTCGTATTCCTTCATCATCTCTGATGAAAGTTGATTAATAGCATATCTACCACTGTATTAGAAATGTTTTCAGTATCTAGAGTTGAAATAAACCTGAATTCCTGGCTAGTAGTAATTAACAGTCTTTTCCATTCAATTTAAATGACTGGGAGTATCAAAAGAGTAATGAAAAATGTTTCATAGAAAAAACAGAACATGAATACTTAAAATAATGCTATTATTTTACTCTGTTAAATCAGTCAGTGCTGAAAGGAAGCACCTATCTAGATTCTTATCCTCTGCAATAAGGAATAGTCTTTTATGTACATTTTCTTCAGCTGGCATCAGAAAAAAAAAGGGAATTGAAGGCTGGAAAGAAGAGAGTTAGACCAGGGTAAAGAAAAGTGGCATTTTGGCAATATAGCCTTGGGAGGGTTGAAGTTGAGTAAAGTATACCTGAGTCTTGAAGCTATAATCCATCTATTAAGAAAGGGGTTGCTAACCAGTTTTGGCTATTCTACTCTGAACTAATGGATCCTGGCCTGAATTGATCATGTTCAGAGATACAAGCATACATAAATAACCTCTTTTGTATTGGGAATGAGATTTGAGTAATATTATAGGTACCTGTGGGTATTTGTCTGTAATATATGCAGAATGAATTAAACAGATGTTTCAGTTATAGGAATCAAATTTACTTTGATTTTGGAACTTAATAAGACCCAAGAATTGATAATCAACAACTACAAGTCATGAAAAAAGCTTTGAACATCGTATGAAGTATCAAGTAGAAGAGCAGTATATAGTAGTATTCTCTGATCCACGAGGGTTACATTCTAAGACCCCCAAGGATGTCTGAAGCCTCAGTATCAGATTGTACATATATTGTTTTTTTTCCTCTACACACAGTAAGAGATTAAGAACAATAAATTAAAATAGAACAATAAATTAAAATATAATTATAACTATACTATAATAAAAGTCATGTGATATGGTCTCTCAAAATTTTGAATGTTACTTTGGAAGCACTTTATGGATTCTCTTTGTATATCCAAATTGCCAGATCACTACACTTGTGTTCAAAATGTCTTAATTC